GTTCAACTGCTGCTGAGGCACTTCGGCCTGGATTTGGACTTGAAAGTCTGGATCTGGACTGACCCCTTGACTTAGACCAGAACTGGGACTGTGCCTACTGACTTCACTTTCGGACAGGCACAACTCTAAACGAACAGACACATTTACAACTTGAACAGGCACTTTCCATTGCACGAACAGGTACACTGCCTGCACGTACAGACACACCCTTACCCGAACAGACATGACATACACATCTCCTGGTGAACAGGTAAGTCTTTTGACAATGCCCTTTGCCTTAGATTTAGATGTGCCTGTTGATAGAGAACTTGACCTTTGACCTGTTTTCACGTTTCTGAGCCCTGGCAAGATACCTTTTCACAATGCTCTACTTTTACAAGGCCCGTGCTGCTCTATTTTTACAAGGCCTGAGGCCTATATCGGGTAAAGGCCCTTTTAATTGTGACGATCCTGGCCAATTTCGAAGTATACATTCATCAGAAAGTACAATGCCATCCAATTGCAAAAAGAATTGAATGAACTTGAGAGGAGAGAGAGGGAAAGAAGAAGCAGTAAGAAAGAAGAAGAAGATGATGTACTCCAGCATAGACCAAAGATAATGCTCTTCTTCTTCGCCAACCAATCTCCTCCTCCTTATCTCCTCCTCCCTTATTCAAACAAGAAATAACAATAATAATGTTGAATGGCTAAACCAGAATCAATGTCCGAATCCCATTTCTACTGCAGGCACCACATAAGGTCCAGCATAGCCATGGCTACCCTTCTCCTTCCTCTCACATGTAGGCCGAGGCTATGGCGGACTACTGAGGGCTAAACCCTCCTGTCCAAAGGACAACCCAAAGCAGCTATGTCGCTGTCTCCCTGTGCAAAGGACAACCCAAAGCAGCTATGCCGCTGCTCACTAGACCGCCATGCCTGTCTCTGCCCCGAGCTTCCTTGGTGCAGGACTACCCCAACGGGGGCCTTCCAGATGCAGCGCCTAACAAGGTGATGAAGATGGTGTCCACCATAGTCAGGTAGGTACCTCGCCACTCTCCTCCTTGGTCCTCTTTTCCCTCCTCCTCCTACCGGTAGAGCTCCACCATAGCCAAGGTTCTCCCATTTCCCCCTCAATCCCTTGCGAGCGAAGCCGCAACAGGTACCCTTGTCTTTATTATTATTATTATTTTTTGACTGCTCTCTAGTCCAAATGAATTGTCGCTCCGGCCAGGAGTTCTACCTTCTCTTCGGATTGCTTTCAAGCTGTTTCTTTCATTGGGTTCGTTAAATGCCTGCGTCTACACGGTCGCAAACGAGAGAGAGAGAGAGAGAGAGAGAGAGAGAGAGAGAGAGGGAGAGAAGAGAGAAGCTTCTTAGTGTTGCTCGTGAGAGGGTGAGGAGAGGGAAGAGGAGTGTTCGTCCCAAAAGTGTGAGGACGTACGGACCTCTCTTGAGAGACTTATTGACACCCTCGTCCTCCATCATGGCATCTGTAGCAGAATGGAAGCTGCAAATGGACGCTGCCCCTGAGGCAAAAAAAGCGCAGTACAATTTCTTCTATGAAAATGCATTGAAGAGGGAAGAGGAAGAGAAGGAGAAGGAGAAGGAGAGGGGAGACAAAGTAAAGGCTCATGAAGCCGTCTTCAGTACCGTGCCCGCCTTAATTGATGCTGAGGTGGAAGAGAAGACTGTCCCACTCCTCAGGGCTTTAGTTGAAGACCATACAGGCCAAATCGCCAAGGTGTTTGATGAACTCAAGAACTTGCGCGAGGATATGGCCCTGATGGCGCAGCAACATTGTGACCAGCTGCAACATTTTGCTAATATTCAGCCAGCCCAAGGTGTCCTTCCGCCTGTTTACCCTGCTTTTAGTGCTGCGTGTTAGTCCGTTATTGCCCCTCTTACTGTATCTTCTTCTTCTTTTTCTTCTTCTTCTTCTTCTTCTTCTTCTTCTTCTTTTTTGAGCATGGTCAACAATCTATCCGGATCTGCAGCAGGTTCAGACCCCGCTGTTTCTGCTGCTGTTGCTGCAGTGGCAAGTGGCAGTGCAGGGCATTCTGGAACTGTTGCGGCCCCGAATTCGGACCCAGCAACCGCTGGTCCTAGCTGCAACTTTCCTTACATGGATAGAAAGGCGGCACAGATTCCGTCTAAATACGATGGAAAGGACAACATTGAATCATGGATCAGCTCTATGCGATCCTACTTTGATGTGTTGGGGACACTCCCGGTTACTCAGTCGTCGGTCCTAGGGACCAATCTGGAACCTGCCGTAAGGGGCTTCTTAGTTGTACAGTCAGGCTATAAAAGAATAGACCTGAATGGCTGAAGGCTACGCCTGTAGCCACACTCGAAGAACTCTTGATCAAACAATATGCTGATCCGCATGCTGCAACCAAAGCTAGACTCAAGCTTGACGAGCTCAAGCACAGAAAGTGAACCAGTTCCATGCATAGTCTGCAGCAGTACGTAAGTAAACTCTTTGGTACTCCTGATCTGGAGATGACTGCACAGTCCTGCTTGGATGTGATTAAAGGCACGGTTCCCTCTACTGTAACACATGGCCTGGGGCTCAGACTCATAACGTATACAGATTGGCTTTCCTTCATGCGGGATTTAGTGACGTTGGAGGCACAAGACCTCCCAGGTGGCTCGGGTGGCAAAAATACCACCA